AAAGAATGTTTTAAAGTGGACCTATCATGCTATATTTTAACAATATATTGTAGGGCCATACCTATATAAAGTATATAAATATAGTTTTTTTTTCAAAATACCAAACAGATCCTGCATTTTAGCCATGCCTCATTTCGCTCCATTTGCTCTTTCCAGCCCTGTTTTTGCAGGGGCTGATTCTGTGAGCTGCAGCTGACCACGCCCCCCTGCAGGAGAGGGGAGCGTGCTCTGATCAGCTGCTGGGCTGTCAGAAGAGGGGGGAGATCTCCGTCCTCCGTGTTTTATTATATTATTATATAGAGTCGTTATTCATTTGTTTTAAAGCTCAATAAATAACAAAGAAGACCTTTGACCGGCACTTTTCTAATTTTGTCCGGAAGATTTCAACTTTAACGGACATCTTGACCGGCGAAAAAAAACCTAACTGAAACTCTGCCGCACGGTCCCCTCGTTCCTTGGAAGAGGCGGAGAGGTGGGTGTTTGTCATCTGCTGGTGGACTAACCGGAGAGAATTACAGTGCTTGCCTCGACGGGGAGGGATTGCATTGAATTAAAGCAGCGGGAGCAAACGCTTGCCTCGGGGAGGGAGAAAAAGACCCACAGCGGAGAATAAACAGAAGGGCAACCATGGCAACCATGCGCGGGAAGTCTTCTTCGCTGCTTTTGTGGCAGACTACAGCGCCACTTACAGGCCTGGCATATGTACTACAGCGTCTCCAGCGCTTTTGAGCGGCAATGGCCGGCCGTGGCCCAACCCCACATTCCCTTGATAGGTGGAGAGTTGGCCCAATAGCCGTAGCGCCACTGTCCTGACGTCAGTAACGTGTTCAAATCTGGATCAGTTTTTATCAGATCCGTTGCAGCCCCGTTTTTAGAGATTTGGGTATGGAGGAAAATAGAAAGGGTTGTGTTTTCTGACACTTGGTGAGTTCCCTGGAACACCGGGGACACATATTCATGGATAAAAGACGTACAAAAGTGCATTTTGCATGATAGGTCCTCTTTAAATAAAAGGACATAAAACAAAAAGGTGGATAATAATAAAATCTATTAAATGTATATGTAAAGACATTTGGTCAAATGAAATGACACTGAGCCAGTGATAACAGCAACACCCAGCGTGGTTGAAGATGGTGAAGGTCTTTCATGCCCCCCCCTCCGTGCTGTCCCCTCAGAGGAAGTGGGATAACGGGATAAGACCTCTGGACACCACGCTGTCTCAATGATCCACACTGTTAATATGAGAGGAAAATAAATGTTTTAGGAAATGAAAAATATGAAGTTACCAAATGAAACACAGCTCAGGGGCAGTCATGGACGGTAGGTTTTCCTACAAAGTTAACTCAGCCTCCATTGATTTTCATATCAAATTAGCGTGTTAATAAAATAAGCTATCATGGCTTATACTTGCATATCTAAACAGAATCATGAAAGCCTGTTGGTAGAGCCAGGCACACGAGTCCGTTTGAGTGTGTGCGCCGGTGTCTGAGCTCACTCACTGCTAGCTATGTAGCTAACTGTTAGGCTACTTAGCTTGCATTGTTATGGATCTAAAGGTAGCAAAAGCTAACTTTCATAGCACAGCTTTACTTCTCACTTAACACAATAAAGAAACAGACCGTATAGTACAGCACAAACAACACAAATGATGAATACTTACATATATTTTCACTTGTAGTATAAAGTAAACAGATATGGTTCTAAACTGTATTGAAGTAAACATGTATTATTTTGAATTGTATTTTAGTGAACATGTATTGTTTGAACTGTTTTAAGTAATCACATATATAGATATTGTATTCTCACTTACAACTCACTGACCCAGAGATCCTGTTACACACACATACACCTCCTCCCACCAGCACACACACACATATTCTTTTCAAGGTTCTTTCTGGGCATCAATATATCTGTGTACAATGTTTGGTTGTCTGGGAAAGAATAGTTTGTGTGAAATATTCTTTGGGAAAGTAAGGGAGTGAATATCGGTGCAGAGATAAGATTGACTCTGCCCTTGTGAACTTCAGAATCTCACGTTCTGCTCAGAAGAAAACATACTTTTTCTCAGAACTCTGATTCGCTGTATTGGACCCAACCAGAAGTGAATCCAACCAGTAAAAACACCTGGGGGAGTGAGCAGCTCACACAGCTCCTCCCCACGGACTCTCTGATTCGCTTCGGAGTAAAATGGGAAGGAAGAAGTCAACACATCTCCGCCCCAAAATATGAATATGAATACTGTTGTTTTTGTATGTAAAATGCTTCTTGTTTGCTGACTGGCTGGTCCCGATACCTGTATCGCACAGCAGTAGAAACCTGAAGTCCGGAGTACTCTGTAAAACTTGTATACGTGTTTTGTTTCTTACCAGTAAAATCAGATTATTGTTATAACCTTTAATTCCGGTGTTTTGAATTCCTTTCTTTATTAAATAGAACCAGCCTCATCTAACGAACGGCGCGTAGCGGAGGGGGGCTTTCAGCCACCATCCAACAGTGTTTGCTACAACAAGTATTATAATAATTGAAATGCTGGTTCTTCTAGGAGTGTTCTATGGTTCTATCTCAGCTACCGCACCGCAGCTGCCTGCACTGTACAATCGCTGGAGGACTGGGCTGTCACTCAAAAACTGAGTAGCCAATGGGGACGCACCCCTGAAAGTCCCGCCCACCTGGGAGGTTTGTGTCAGAATCTCAAACAAAAAGTGAAGGAGCGCAAAAGAGAGTGCTGCAGCGAGAGCAAAAGTCTGATCATTGAGAAAGAAGAAACAAGAACTGCAAACAAAAACCTATGTTAAAACAAAGAAAAAAGACTTATAGTTTACATGATTACACAAATGATTTGTTTGCAACTTATAGTTTTATTTTTGATATTTATTTTATTTAGCTTGACTCAAATTAAATTATTTAAAAAATGTTGTGCAATTAAATCTTACAGTCTGGCAGGATGTGAGGCAGTAACACACATGACTAAGTTTATGAATTTAACCAAGCATTATAATGTGGCTTATGTTTTTATTTACAGTTCGTCCCCCACCAAACCCTGTTCCCATCATTTTGGGAGTATTCTTCACAATTCTCATTCTCGCCATCATTGTTGTAATACTTTGGTGTCTTCGAACGAGAAAAACAAGTAAGTCTAAGTGTGCATTTTATCAAAAACATTTATTTTAGTTTTACTGTTTGTGGGAAAACGAAGAATGGAACAGGCTAGCAAGTGTGCAGGTGTGCGTCATATGAGATGCCCCGCCTTAAATTTTCCGCCAAAGATTTTGGAAATTGGTCAGTGCGCAAAGCATTGTGGGGATTTTAAGACCGCGGAGGATACACTGGTGCATCCTCGAAATTTCCCGCAACGAAGGATTCAGTCCTCGGTAGAATTCCAAGGATCCTGGACATTGGAACAGTCCTTCGGCGGGATTCGATGACGTAGCATCCTTGAAATAGTGGCTCGACATTGAGAATCACCCTTAGGCCCAATCCCAAACCGCCCCCTACACCCTACCCCTACACACTACCCCTCCGTTCGCGCGGAGGGTCCGCCACATTAAGTGCTGTTCCAAACCAACGAGTGTGGAGCGGTGTGGAGGGGGAGTGGGCTATCAAGCCCTCAAACAGCGAGTCTGCAGCAGTGCTGACTGGAGACCGGTCTCTACCTGACCGGTCTCAACGCTGTGTGTGTCCGTCAGGAAACACGCTGTTTACAAGTTGTTCCAGCAAACATCCACTGATAAATTGCGATGTTAACAACCTCATGATAACCTCATATTTTTTTTAACTTAGGATCATATACCTGTTTTAGTCTAGAAAAAGGTAAATGTGTATATTTACAGACTGTTGCAAAAACTAAGAAGCCTATAAACATCAGGTTTAAAACTAAAAGAGCTTTACAAAAAAGTAACACAATTAAAGATGTTTGGAGTTTTATTTGAGTTATTAATTGTATTTTTTGTCTAAGAGATGCTGATTTGAAACCGTTGTTACATACAGTTACGGCATTTCCTGTTTCTGCCGGAGAGAGGGGAGTTTGTCCCAAAGCTTGCCACTGTATTTACTCCCTCCATCTGACAGGAGGGAGCCTCATTCAGCTGCGAGTGTGGCTACAGACGGAGTTCACTCCGTCACGGAGGGGTAGGGTCGAGGGAGTGGTTTGGGATTGGGCCAAAGTCTTGTCTTCCCCTGTGCTCCATGTCCGATCGTCATCTTTGTTGGTTCCTGTTGGTTTTTCTGGTCTGGATATTCCTCTTGCTACGAATTTATGGATTTATGTTTTTTTCTTGTTTGTTCATCGTCAACAAGCTCGCTTTTCGTTATACCTTACCTTCTCCTCATTCTGCATTTGGGTCCTGATTTTCCCCAAACCTGACAGTTACAATACATGTTCAAGTAAAAAAGTATAGTCATGAATTGAATGGAAAATTGTCCATCATTTTGTGTTGAAAGGAGAAATTTTAAACAAAATTACCGCCATTGAAAGCTTTGCCTTCCAGCTGTTAATATGCTATCATTTGCCAAGGAGTCAACATTTAATTTAATGAAAAATGTACAGGTTAATGATTTGTAAATCATGCGTTTCTGTGGTCCACTTCGTATCGGTATTTGTTTTTAATTTAGGATACTTTCACCCTTCTTCTTTTTAAAAGAAATATACTTTTAAATGCAGCAGGTGGACACCTGATTTATAAAAAATACTGTGTATTCTTTTATGCAGTCACCAATGCAGTTGCACCAACATTGATTTTGCTAAGTGAATGCAGGATTCTTTCTTTTTTAGGTTGTTTCTTCATGGTCTGAGGCACTTAAGATACTTCTTGATAAAAGTATCAGATAAATAAATGTGATGTAAGTATGTCATATAATGTAATGTGAGTGTAGTTCATGTATTAACTGACAGCTCAGTGGGTGGACAGCTGATTTGTTACAAATACTGTGAGAGTTCTTAATTAATATACTGCAGTGAACTTAAAAAAAACATATTCTGTTTATTGTAAAAGGGGCAGATTTTAATAAAATAATCTCTGAGCAGAGGATACATTTCTGATAAAAAACACTATTTTTTTTTCTTACACCTAGGTAAAAGCCTTGTTGTATTTATTTGCATTGCATTGATATTGAGTTGTCCCAAAAGTAATGTAAAGTAATTAGTTTACTTTATATGAATATTAGATACCTACATTAGGTTAATGACAATAAGGTAATTAGTAAATGTAATGGAATACATTGTCACAATTTAGCAGAGTGAAACAAAGAATTGCCACACATGATCTTTAGTAGATTCCAAAAAATCACAAACATATTAGACGAGTAATTTGTTCATTTGTATTAACACATAATAGATAATGGAAAATATAGGAATACAAAAGCTTTATTAAATGGTGCATGTACCAGAAAATGCTTTCATTCAAAAATGAAAACAAGCATAAAACATACTGTACAAAGAAAAACTAAATATTTTTGAATTGATTATAAAAATATAAGATGTTATTTGTGTTGCTTTTATGATATACTACTAGAAATGTTTGGAAAATCGAAATGATTTTACCTACAAAAAGATTACTTGATATCATCATTGGATTAACAAGAATATTCAGCATTTTTTTTAAAGCTGCCTTCTGTGTTTTCCTTGCAAAGCATCAATGTTTACATCAAGATGTCAGTGTACATATGTACATACATTCTAAGTGTACATATTTATATTTACATGTTTATTGCTCGCAGCCTTGAGGCCGCTCACCTTTGTTGTTGCATTTCTACATTTCTTGATGTGTCACGAAAATGGATTTGAAAAATGTTTTTTTGTGTGGAAATAATTTGCAACCCCTAATCTTCCTACCTAGCCCTGCAATCCCCCCAACTACACCTAGGGGTCCCCCTACCCCCGGTTGGGAACCAGAACTATGAGTTTATTGGTTCTTGTTGAGCTTCTCCATGAGATTAACCGTGATGACAGCAGACAGCATGATGATCAGACCCACAGAGAACACACACGTCTTCACCAGGCACACAAATAACCCCTCTGGATCTGAAACACAACAAACAGAGAGTTTCATATCAAAACCGACACAGAGATCCAGACCGCACTGCAAAGTGCATTTTAGTTTTATAGACTGCCCGTATGTGGCGGTTTTATGGTGATGCATGTTATTCAAATATTCAAGTTTAAATGTTGTTTTAAAAGTTCTGCACTTTATAATAATAAGAGCCAAATTGCACACTTTAACTCCAAACTGTGTGTTATTATCAGGAAGTAGTTTTGTCTTTCAGTCTTACCATCAAGCTGGTGGCAGACATCTTTGATTGTTTTGGTGTCGTTGGTCCAGCTGACATGGTTGCTATGGATACAGAGGATCGACCCACTTGATTGGTGGACCTGGAGAAAAGTATCAGGGATCACCTCTGACCGCTCTCCTCCCTCCTGACTGCAGGTTTGGTTGTCACAGGTGAAAGTGCTGTTGATGTGAGAGTCCTTTGAGCTGCAGGTCACAGTGAAGCTACAGGAGGAAGAATTTCTGGAGACAGAGCTCACTGTGAGGAGAGGGAGAGACGCTCGATCTGAGGAGGGAAGAAGCAGGTGAAGAGTTTTAGAAACAAGACCACATAAACTCTATCAGTGTTTGAGAAGTTAACAAACCTACCTTGAACTGTGATCTTGTATTTAGCTGCTTCTGTTTCGTCTCCTGAAAGCTTCATCACTACAGTAGTGTAATCTCCACTGTCTGCATCTTGTAGATTCTTCAATTTCACAGAGAAATTGTTCACATGAAACTCAACCCTTCCATCATAATCAGGAAAAACATTTGGACTGTTGCCAGGGTGAACTGTTAATACTGTTTTCTTTTCATTAAATATCCATGAAAAACTAAAAACATCCTGAAGAACATCAGCTGCCGTGACATTCAGAAGAAAATCCTCTCCCTTCATCACAAACACAGGAGTCCCAGCACTGATCTCTGTAAAACAGTAGACACATCATACTGTAAATATCACATACAATATATGGTTATTTGGGTAATACTGAATATTTAGTATTAGACAGTTGTAACAATTCTGAATGTTACTATATTTGCGTACTTTATTTATGACAAATATCTGATTATAATCAAATACTAACTTAACATTCAACCCAGTGACCGCCGTAATAGTCATAGCCATCATAGTTTAATAAGTGAAGAACTTTTATTTTTTTGCCCACTTGTCTCTCCTTGCCTTTAATATGGTCAGAACTCTTGTGAAAGTAAACAGACATGTAATAATAAACACATTTTACCATTCTTCTCCTGCTTAGTTACTACTACTAACTAGAAAATGCATTTCCTGCAGAAAATGTGTGCGAATGCTGTAAACTGTGAACATTTGTGGCTGAATTTAGCTGAAAATGCAGAAAAAGCTGAATATTTAAAAGAAAAGGTTTAAAAAAAGGTATAAACAACAACATGTATAGCCTTGATGTCCTGAAATAGCTGAATAATGTAATAGTTGAATGGTTTCTGCAGCTGAAAATAGGCTGAATGAGTTAAATATCAGATGTAAGTAGTAGTGAATGAATTTGTATTAAGATGAGAAAAGAAAGTAAAAAGACTTGGGAAAGCAGCAGAATATTTGAACTGCAAACTTTTGAACTAACTTGATGGTGAATTATCTGTCGCCATGGCAACGGCATTTGATGACACCCCATAATACGCTTAGATGTGTTGATGGCTGCATCGTTACCAAACCTGTGAAGTTTTGGGCCATTTCGAGCATTTTCACTGAAGTTATGAGAAAACCGTGTTTCATCAAATCAAATCAAATCAAATCAGGTTTTATTTATAAAGCACATTTTAAAATCGATTTTTGGTCGAGCCAAAGTGCTGTACATGTAATAAAAAACACATTACTACAAAACACAATAAATTACAACAGATATAACTATAACAGATATAAAACACACGGAAAAGTCAGGAGTCATGCTCCGCTCTAATTAGAAGGCCAGAGAGAAGAAGTGTGTTTTTAATGTGGATTTAAAAACCCCTAGGGTCTGGGCCGACCTCACATGGAGGGGCAAAGTGTTCCAGAGCCTGGGGCCAGCTGCTGCGAAGGCTCGGTGCCCTCGGGTTTTTAGCCTGGTATTGGGCACTACCAGCAGCAGCTGGTCAGCAGACCTTAAAGCTCTGGCTGGGGTGTAGCGCTGGAGCAGTTCAGTTATATAGGCCGGAGCCAGCCCATTTAGCCCATTTAGGGCTTCAGCTCCTGCTCGGAGCTGGAGCTGGAAAAGCGCCGGTTTTTCCTGTTCACACCGCAGCGGCGGCGCGTCATAGCTCCGGAATGCGGTTCACTTCCAGCTCCAAAAAATTGTCGGTCCAGAGGCAAGAGCTTCGGAGCTATGACGCGGCGTCGCTTACGTCTCTCTTACGTCGAGGCGTGCAGGAAACCTTACTTTGACCATCCGTTCGCTGTTATTGATCATTGTGGAGAGCAGGCAGACGTTTTGTTTGTTATTATAGCAGCTATCAGATGGAATTAATACATGGGCTGCACAGGTTGTCATGTCCGACTATCACAAGTAGAATCATAATGAAAAATACGCCGGTAAAATGTGCCTGTAGAAAACGGCTTACCAAGTAGTCAGTTTAGCTTCGGTTGCTACAGTATGCTAACATCACCCATGTTATACCAGAGAAACTTTCATAGCAGCGTTGTGATGCCAAACAGCGTCAATTCAGACTGACACACATTCACTTAAAGGGAACTGGGGATATGTATCAGCTGCTTGTGTGACAGTCAGACAGTGAATACTTTAGAGCCGTGTGAGCTAACCCGGAGCTAACGGGAGAATAAACTCCCGTGGAGCAGCCAGCACTGCAGCGGTCGGTAAATGCCGCTGAAACACATTAATAAACAATGAACCACGGCACTCTGGAGAAAAGTATAAGGTTGGAGAAGTCGTTATTTAATTTAATCTGGCTTCGTATGATTAAAAGCAACACGATCATCGACCCGACGCAGTCCCCGGCCCGTTGTTGTTGTGGGAGAAAATCAGCGACGTAAACTGTGACGTCATGACGCAGCAGCGGCAGCTCTGGGCGGTGTGAACAGAGCGGGAGCTGAAAAGGGAAACCGGAGCTGAACCAGAAAAGCTCTCACTAGGAGCTAGAAAGGGAAAAGCGCTGGTGTGAATG